TCTCTCCCCCCCCCCCCCCATCTTTGGGAACGTCATGCATCTCACACGCATCGCAAACACGGAACACACACGACATCACCCACATGAAGTCAACGCCAAATATCCAAACACCATAACTTCCCAACATCAACAGGCTCGTTTTCTTCTATACACGAGTAAATGAAGACGTAACTTCCAGCTGCTGGCACCGGCTGAGCTCTCTTGAACTGAAAAAGGAGACGTGGGGGACGCGTTGCGACAATGACGCCCACACCGTAAAAGGTAAAGAACGAACATACGGCACCATGCAGAACAAGCTGACAACATCAACCAAAACGACCAAAACGACAACAACGAACGAGTGGTGGAGGGGGGTGGGGAGGGGGAGACAAAACGGTTGGTCTTGTAGACAACAACAAAAGGCAAGGCCAAAGAAGAACACACAGCACACACGTTGACACATCCAGACAAGTAGAATGACGTTTCGATCAAGAAACACAACCAACACACCACCACCCACAGGCGAAATGACACAGGAACACGTAACACACAACACACGGTGACACAGGTATCCATGCACAGAGACCGGGAGCTAGCTGGTTACCCGAAGCCAAGAAAATGGTATTGTGCGCGTTCGTAACAGCGGCGATCGTTCGCAGCCTCCGACACCAGCCTCCCCCATAGAGGAGCATAGGGCCTGCTGGCAGAGCAACGATAACCTCTTTCGCTCCCCGTCTTCGCATCCACAAACGACCCCGATCTTGTGGACAATTCCACGACATGAATACCCCCACAGTACGCTGACGACTCGCCTCTGGTATTACGTTGACAAGATTGTGCCGACACCCGTCCAAACGATCCCCAACACGCCTCTGGTGCGAACTCCCCTTTCAACTTCAAAGAGAGCAAACCACATCCATCGGCTACCCCGCTTCTCGATCCACTCGACGGCACACCACGTGATTTTTTTTTTGCCGACGCTACCGAAGACGCGTCACCCACCCCTTTTGCCCAACAATCACACAATCACCACCACTAAGGTCGCGTTTCCCATTCATGTCCGGCGGCAAAACTCACAGGGAGGGTTCCTTGCCACCGTCACCACCGACCACCCCACCCCGCGACGGCGAGAGAACGGCGGCGGTGGAGATGGGAGCGTCATCCACTGTAGGCACCCCCTCCCTCGTCCTCCCCTTGTCTCCGGCCGGAAGGGCGGCGAAGAACGGCGCGAGCGACCTCCTCATGTCCACGAGGGGGAGGATGCTTGGTTGGGCCTGGGGGCACGGGAAGTACCCCAGGAAGTGGTTCACGTGGGCCCCCCACCTCCGCAAGAAAACGGGGGCCCCGTCACCGTCGTCTCCCCCGTCTAGCGCCAGCGCGGCAAAGGCGACGAAAATCTGCGCCAGCGCGAAAAACGACAGCGGCAGCAACAACATTCAGCGAAGCACATCCCTTTGGACTGCTGTCGTTGTACCTCGAGCGGGTAGGTTTTTCTTGTGCTTCTGTGTGTATTTTTTAAGAGCCCAAAAACGAGGCAAACTGAAGAGGGCAGGAGACTGACAGCCTAGACCACAACAATTGGCGAGAAAAATTACGACAACGGATGACTGTCATGCACACCACGAATACCTAACACCGCCGTAGGCCCACTACAAGGCTATCGTCTCCGCTGCGTCTGGAGCTCGACACTCTTGAGACAAAACATCAAACGCAAAACTTGGGGACGAAAATAAACCGGGCGCGGCGAGAGAGGGGTGGGGAGCGCGCAAGCAAGCAAGCAAGCAAGCAAGCAAGCAAGCAAGCAAGCAAGCAAGCAACAGAGGTCGAGAAAAATCTACCATCTACGGAGATTCGTTCAGTCCACCCTACGTACATACCTCGTGTCGAAACACCACCGTGTAGACCAAGTTGGCTAGCTTCAGCGGGAACTCCCCAACCCTACCCTCGTGCTTGAGGGCGTAGAACAGCAGCTCGTCCGTGATGTTGAACATCTCGAAGATGAGCCGGGAGCACTGCTGGGCGACAGCCACCAGCGGTCCGGGATCACCGGCGGCATCGGCAGAGGACGAAGAGAAAGCCCGACCGTCGTCGCAACTGCCGCCCTCATCCCCGCAATCGCTGCATTGGCTCGTCGAGCGCACTACAGCAGCGGAGGTGGCCGCAACGCCGCCGGCGCTGTTGCTTCGAGTGCCGCAGATCTTGGACCTCGGCTCCCCCGCGGCAATCATGGCGGCGTCGAGGTGGTCAAGCGCTCGCCGGAAAACCAGCAACCCCGACTCCTGGATACGCGACATCGACCCCAAACACAACCAGTCGTCGTCAACAAAAATAACGGGTTAAAGTGTGTTTAAGTCCAGCGATGCCAACATGTGTGGCCACGAACAGCATATGGGACGACGCTGTTGGTAACTCGGCAGAATTCGTGCCTTCAAAATCGTTCAAAAAGTAGGAGTGCCAAAGTCGTCGTGCGCTCCCGTCCGTAACAGCAACTGCGGAGCCGGGAGCATCGGCACAATAACGGAACTTGGGTGCAGGAAACCTGGCCAAACGCAGAACCCGCCCGCACGCAAGAAACCTATACTTCGTCCCGAGAGGGAAGTTCCTCACTAATCTCTTGGCGGTAACCCAACATCGACTTATATTGGTCTTCGCGCACGCATCTTGACTTGAGCACCTGTTGTCATTTTCTCAAGTTCTTTGAATCCCGATTCCCAAAAGATTAAGTAGCTGAAGTCGTGGCTCGCCCTGTATACACATGTTCTGGGTAGATAAAACTTGGAAAACATCTCAGCCCCGCTACTGTACTACAGGTCCACCAAAGACGCTGGAAACGCCTGGTGTGTCCACGCAGCTACTCTAGTCGCAGCCTCGTGTAACTTCCGCCGGTCGTTTACCTTGAAGACAGCGCCGCCCTTCTCTCGCTCCCGAAGCACAGCGTTCAGCTGCGGCTCGAGGTCGAGGAACTCGCTCCACATCCACTGGTACGCCTGTGCGGACAAGCAAGGTTCCGGGACGATAAGAAGCATCCGACGATTGATTGCGTTGCAGGGTGTCGTGGTGCACAGCGCGTTTGTCGCTGGTGATGTTGCTGTTGTCAGTGACGAGTCGTTCGGCCACGCCAAGCCAACGAGTGGGCACCATTGCCACACGAAACGCGTACGTGAGAAGAATGGCCGGTGCGTGGGTAGATCTAATTTCCGCTTACACCTGAAAGAAGCATGGGTTTTTCCTCTTACACCTGCAAGACATGTTTTTTTCCTCTTCCACCTGAAAAATATGGGTTTTTCCTCTTTTACACCTGCAAGACATGTTTTTTTCCCCTAACACCTGAAAAATATGGGATTTTCAGCCTTTGGCGGTCAAGTTACACCCCCGAGACTCTTCGATCAGCCTGAGCGTGGGTAGGTCAAGTCAGCATGGAAGCGATCTCTCGACGAGTATGCCAGCACGGTGAAGAGGAAGGCGCACGGTGGCAGAGCTCACCTCAAGTCTCTTGCACCAACACTTCCAACAACAACAACAACAACAATAACAACACCACCGCAGCACCTACAACAACAACAACAACAACAACAACAACAACAACATCACGACCACAGAACCAACAACAACTCCCACAACGACCCAACGCACCTGCAAGAATGTGGTAATCTTGTCCTCGAGAGTCCAGAATGGGTAGGCGTTCTTCGAGCCAGGGGACAGGAAGAACATCCGCAGAGCACCCGAGGTGAGCTTGAGGCTGATACGGTATTGCTC